TCCTGAATTATTCAGTTTGAGGAGAGTAAATAAAATAAAAAGAATCTTGACATTTTAAAAGAGAAACCTTACAGTTTTGTATTGCAAATATTTGTAGTTAGGATTTATATTTAAAAAATTATTTTTTGAAAGACTTAATAAGAAAAAAAATGATAGAACCCTTATCAAAATAAGCAAGTAAAATAAAAAAAAAGTTCTTTTAAAAAAATACAATTCCTCTATGAAGCTGATGACTTTCAGAAGAGTGAATATTTTACTACTAATGACTAAAGAATGATAAATTTAAACCAAAATGTATTATTTTTTATCCCTCCCCTATTCCCTCTCCCCATGAAAAAAAATCCTGGTTAAGGGATGTATACATTTATTCAGAGTCAGGGTATATAAAATTCTAATGATAGGCCTTTAGATATAGATTTAGTAGATGGTTCACACATTTTCCTAAATGTTTTATTAATTTATTAAACTCTTAAATGTGGAAATATCTGAATACATAGTAGTCTTTATCAAGATAAAGATTGACTAGCCAAATTTTATTTTTTTTTTACTTTGAAAAATTATAAGTCAAACTAGAGTTTTCCCTGTGTGGCCAAATAGCTAGTAATTCATTTTTGAGAACGTGTCCACCCAAGTTTCACCCATGAATTTGCAATCTGAATAGAGAAATCGTAAAAAAAAAAAAAACGCCCAAGAACTAGGGACTACTAATGACACTTTTTATTTAAAATCTATCATCAATTAAACTTTGTTTGCTCATGTTAGGCATGCTTGTCATTGTATCATTTTAATGATCATTTTAAGAGGCTGATCACAACCAATTTGTTTTGTATAAGACCTTTAGATTTAGAAAAGTATGCAATCATTTTTTTCTTTTTCAATTTCAACTGTGTACAAGTTTTGTTCTCTGGATCTTTTGTGTTCATGTTATGATTTCTTAGAAGCAGACGAATTCATCAATTAATGAAATATGAAATGATTGCTCCTGTGTAGAGAGACAATGGATGCACCCAAAGGATTCCTCTTCAGGGGATTAAGGGGTCATGGTCCCTCTATTTACCCTGCTGGTGTGTTTCAAAAGAAAGCTAAGCATTACATTTGGCACCAATTCACTCACTTTTTGAATTATCTTCAATATTTGTCGATCATTAGCACAGATATTTATAATTTATATATATTATCTTAGTATGTATTTGTGGACCTAAATGAGGAAATGTGCTCTCTACATTAAACGTTACTAACTGTCATCTGACTATATTCAGTCAAGAAACAAATGTTTTCATCTTGAACTATTTCATAATTGACCTTGGTCATTAATGACAGTTTTTAACTAAGGTATATAGTTCTTCCATGAAACACAGGGTTCAGCTTGGAGCCGCTTTAGTGTCACACACAGCATGTCCTGTAGACAAATGTATATTTATCAGGTTAAAGGTACATGCGGAGGAAGTTTTGATAGTAGTTTTGTATTATTGTTTAATTATGACTATTATGCTGAAACTTTTATGACTGAACTCAATGTAAAACATTCCATATCAAATAAAACTTTCATTTTTCTCAAATTGTAGTAGTTCAAAGGGCTTCACTTTTTTTTTTTGGGTCATTTCCTTTAAACTTAAAGAGATAGCAGCCCTTGACTAACTTATAAGTGAATTTATACATCTTAATATTGTGAAGTTTTTTTATGCCTTAGAATACAATTAGTGTTCTGGTTCTAGCACCTATGATCCTAACAAATAGTATTTCTTTTAAGGCAAGTTATCCAGACAGGTCAAGAAGATAAGGACATATTGTACATGCTTAAAATTTTTTTTTTGTGAAAGTATTGAAAGCTTGCAAAGTTATTGCTGAGTGAACAACTTGCATCACTAATCAGTTTGTTATATTTTTGTCTTGTACAGAAAAAGCTTTTTTTTCCTTCTCTTTATGTGATAGAAGTAGGCATGTTGAAAGCCTCGTCTGTTGTATGGTGTGATTGAAGTAGTTTTTTCATCCAAGTTTTGTTGTACTGTTTGAGTGACTGGATTTCATTTAGTCTGGTTTAATAGATGAATGCCTGTTATCTTTTGTGCAATAAAGTTACAAATGAATTTTCAAAGTTTTCTTTTTTTATTTCAAAATAGATCTTGAAGTTTTGCATACATAACAATCAAACCTAAAATAATATTGACATATTTTGTTTATTTGTAGTCTTTCTGAGGAAAGAGTAATTGATGAAAATGTTACATTTCATAGATCCAGTAATACAAAGGTTTATTTGTATAAAATGTGATAATGATCCACAGAATGAAACCAATACAAATTTGTAGATGTGTACCAGAACATGAAATTTTAAAATAATTTTATTCTCAGTATTGTTTACATTGGCAAAGTCAGAGATTCATGTCTAATTGCAAAAACTAAACATTAGGTCAAAAAGTTTGGTGTCTAGTGAGTCATCTGTCATTAAGTATCTGGTTCTTTAATTCAAACATTTACTTTTGAAAATTTAAATAAATAATTTGAAACATTTTACTTTTAAATTGAAGACATTAGAACTCATTTTCAAAGTATTTTTGTGACTTTAAATATAGTTTTGATTTAGGCATCGCTACATTGGTTAATAATAATAATTATAAGGCTTGTCTTCGAGTCTGAAAATGAATGAGGAATGCAGTATTTCCTGTGGCTAATGTTACACATGTGACTACTGGTATCCATAAAAAAACAGTATGATGAGTGAAATTGACTTTGTTTTTTAAACTACTTTCTAGGGTATTTGTGACATTATCAGCTACCCCTTTCAAAAAGTGAAGATCTAAATCACCTAGTTCTGGATTTAAGAAACTGTTAGGGGTGTGGCTAACACAGTTTACAATGGCTTAATCCAGGGGTGGGCAACCTTTTTTCTACCGAGGGCCTCATAAACAAAATATAGGGACTGGGGGGTCACATATATATTTTTACACTCCCATTTGAGGAATTACAATAAGAGCTAGCTAATTCTTGAACTAATTTTAATAATATTTTTTTTGAATTTTGTAATTTTCTTTTTACATCACAATTCACTACAAATGACAGTTGTACTTAATGTGAAGTATTTAACTGTTCACTCTCATGCATAATGTTCTGAAACATTGGAATTAGCTTACTAGTTATTTTTTTTTATCACAGTTGTTAAATTACATTCAATCAGCATCAGTGTTCTATCACTTGAATAATAAGCTTGTTCACAGATGAATGTGGTGCCAAATAATGTGAAAGTTTAGCAGCAAAGTTTTTTAAGTGTGGATATACAGCTTCTGGCACCCATGAAACTCCTCTTTCAGGTCATAATTTGCTTGGAGGTATGTCCCCTGGAGTTGAATCAGCGTCTGCATTAAATGGTGAGCTGGGGTATTGAAAACTGGTTCCTAGTTCTTGAAGTCTTAAAATTTGCTTTCAAATTCTACAATCAAGAATCCAAATAAGTCTTGCACACCTTTCAGCAAAGCAAAATGATAAAACTTGTTATCACTTGCCTCAAGAAATGGAATAGCTTTGTTTGAAAAGTGCAAACACCACATTGCTAAGCTTCTGATGATATACATGAAGTCTGTCTTCAACTCTTCATTATTAGTAACAAGGTCACAGTCAATGTCCTTCATGGAACATAACGTCTTCCTTGAGATTCCATATTCTTATTAATACCTTGCCCAAGCAAGGCCAGTGGATACTACTGTGTTACCAAACATCAGAATGTTTTGTTTCCATATCTTCAAGTACTTCTCGGAACTGCCAGTCAGGGCCAGCCTTAGATGATTGGAAGCTTTAGACAGTGAATTTGGTGGCCACAAATAAAATATAAAAAAATAATTTGCTAAAAAAAATAAATAATTATTTTTATTTATTTATTAATTTATTAATTACTTAAAGTGTACTTCAACAATAACATAAAGAGTACAAGTTTTGCTATTTCATCACTGTGCAAGGAATATGTTCGATATTCAATGCAGCTTTGTGTAAACTTTCTCAATGTGTTTATGGTTGGGATATTGTTCTTTATTTTATTAAAAACCTTCAATTTCTCAGTTGAAGCACAGGTTCCATCAGTTGTTACACTTGCCATCATGTTCCAAGCCAACCTAACACTTTCAACACAGTTCTTCATAGCAATGAATAAATACTGGCCTGAGTAGGCCTTTATGTCTTTCACTGAATATTGCCTATAAGAAAAATCTTTGTTTACTTAAAACTTTTTAGAATGACATTTAGAGACATTGTTTCTTTAGCCTTTTCATCATAAGTGTCAGAAGTTTCAATAATTTCTACAGATATTTACAATTATTTATTTTTATATATTTAATGTGTGAGTATACCTGATTTCTTTAAGTGTCAGCAGGCTCTAATGGGTACCTCACATTAGTTGGGGAAAAGTAAAGGCGGTTAGTCATTAACCGTAGGCCACAGAAACAGATGACCTTAACATCATCTGTCCAATAAACCACAAGATCTGAAAGGCAAACTAGGCCGCATAAAAAATTCTGGTGGGCCTCATGTGGCGTGATGTTCCCACCCCTGGCTTAATCCATTCTAGTTGGCTGGACTATGGTTTACATTCTAGAATGGACAGCAAAGTATAGTACCACAATCACTATGTCAGTCCCTCATTATTAAATTGTTGAACTATTTTAGATTAGCAATAAGAAGCATGGTGTCTGAGTGCTGTAGTGCTTGACTTCCGAACCAAGAGGTCTTGGGTTTGAGGGTTTAAGTGTTGGTGAAGACTGGGATGTTTAATTTGTGATCTTTAGAACAGCCCTGAGTGGACCCAACTCTAATGGGTAACTGACATTAGCAGAGGAAGGCATTTGGTCATTGTGATGACTACATGACACCCTCATCAACTGTCGGCCATAGAAACCTATAGATTGCAAGGTCTGAAACAGGAACTTCACTTTTTTTTAATAAGAAACACTTCAAACAATGAACAATGGAAATAAACTAATGCATCAATAAGTTAGAAATACACTTTTAAGAAATATAGATATTTTATAGTTTAATCATTTGCCCACAAAATTATAAATACAATTATCAATAAAAAAAAAATGGAAACAAAATGTATTTCAACATCATACAAAATACAGATCAAACAATTAAGTGTGGAAAAAAAATCTTTCACAGTTCCAAAATATACAAACAATTTTAAAATAACTAACACAATAGCATACATCTGAACTCTTGAACTGTTACAAATGTATCACCAACCCCTTGTTCAGGCATGTCATGCCAAAGACAAAATATAAATAACTATTTAGTAGATATACTTTATACAGCCAAGGCTCCAAATAGCAAAATAAAATAATTAAAAAAACAAAACAATCAAGAAACTTCTCTTTGTAACTTTTTAAAACAGGTATTAAATTTTTGGTATGAAAATAAAATCTTTTTATTTTCATTGAATGAAGCGTGAGAGGATGCTAGTCTTTTAAAAAGAAAAGATTTTATGTTTTATCAATGGAGTGAAGGGTCAACCCATATAGAAATCTTTATTTCAGTGGCAAGCATGTTGTATGGCTTGCAAAATAGCTAAGTGACTTCAGTTTTTTCCTCATGTTATAGCTCAATTTCTACACTTTATAAGCAAAATCCACATTAGAACATTCCTGTTAAATTTAAAGGCCTTGTGGTTTACCAACTATAGCCTTTTGAAGATTTTTAAATCAGGTTTCAAGGGTAATGCCCCACCCCAAATATGTATTAATTAATGGAATCAAAACTGCACTATACCAGGTTTCTCACTAATCTAAAGAACTCTACCCAAGAATCTTTTACAAGAACAGAAGAGATTATATAATGTAAAAGCTTCTCAATGATCCAAAAACAATGATTGTGGAATATTTAAAGTTATAAATTTTAAACAAACAAATTTTTTATTTAATTTTTATTGGTATGATATTGATCTTTTGTCTTTCAAAGTACAAAGATATATATATTGTTACACATAAGCAACATATTGACTTGAGCAAAGGTTAAACAATGATCCTATCAAACTAAAAACCTTAAAAAACTTAGCTTCAATAAGATTCTAGAAATGTGACCCATTCTGGTAACATAGGTCTTAGCTTGAAGCATAAATAAATAAAGTCAGTCAAGGAAATAAAAAAATAAATTAAAAAAAAAATCATTTTTATTGTTTAACATTATTTCTTTTCATTTTTGTACACAACGATTTACTGCCTATAAAAAAATTATTAATGTCTAAAAACAAACAGAAATCTAAGAATTACACAAATTATCCACTAAATAATGAAAATAAGCAAACAAATTATGAAATTTCCTCACCAGATTCTAGAAAAGTAGAAAATTGGGGGGGGGGGGGGGGGGGGGGGGGGGGGGAAGGGACACAGAAGTAGAAAAGTGACTTTGCCAATGCAACGAAATTGTGGATTTCTAAAAAATCCCAAACGACTAATTAAATAAAATGTTAATTAAAATGAAGTTTTTCTTTTTTAAATTGTCATAATATTTTCTTTGTATTCTCAAAATGATATTCTGATAGTGTCATTTAATTCAATACACTTTGGATGGAGTCATTCAATTCAAAACACAACTAACATAAAAAGCATTTATATAGCTATTTTTTATTACTTTGACAATATATCTTATAAACTTGAAATAGCACTATGGAGTTTTTTTTATATAAATATTGAAAAAAAAAAATCAGCAACAAACTATATTGCATTCCTTCTAGGCATTAAAACATTTTCTTTTAATCATCTCAGAATTAAAAATTAACTGAATTAAGACATATTAGTCCAAAACATATATATATAAAAAAAACACTAAAAAATGGTTCATCATAAATAGATATAAATATAAACATTTAAAAATGTAACATACAAGAAAATAAAAAGGTCATGTTGTGTCCTTGATTACTATGTACAACAATTAGTAACATGACATCTTAATAATTGTCCAGATGCTGGTGGTCAAAGGCAGATTTATCTCTTTGCTGTTATAACAACTTAGTCAACAGTTGGTCCCCCATATGGTACACATTAAATTCCACGACTTATGAAAAATATTTAAAAAATTTAACAACAGGCATGTAAAAGACTTTAAGCATTAGGCGAGAAAATAGTTTGTGACAAACATTTTGTTTTTAATGAAGAGATGGGCTTGCAGCATACATTTAGCAATGAATAATGAGCACTGAATGTAGATTTCTGATTAAAAAAAATACATGACAACCAAGCCTTGAAAGCTAAGCTTAATAGTGAATATTTTACATTTGTGATATAAAAATTCCAGGTGATTTTTAATGATTTGAAATGATAAAGAAATAATTTGATATGATAGTATTTTAAGTAAAAGCAAATGATGGCAAAAACCCAACCATTTTTTTTTTTTACAATCCCAGATATACAGTGCAAATGCATTAAGCTGAATGGACAGGAAATTTCCTTGACCCTATCGTTTCTAATAAAAAGATACTCCAATGTTTCTTATCACCTTCAAAGCCAAGCTACAAAATAAAGATGGCAGAACCATATAACACAAACTTCATGCAAGAAAGAAGAAAGGTAACAACAGGAGTCAAATGCAGACTGTCATGTCACAAGCAGTGCCAAATAAAACAGTTCGCCCAAAGTCCCACAGGACTGGTCTAGTTAATCTTTTCTAGACCAGGATTTTCAACATTTAAACATTTAAATAGGCTAATGCATAGCTCCAGTTATAATAAAAATGATTTAGCTAATGGTAGTTAAATTGGTTAAAGGATTATTAAATTTTTAAAAATAAAAAAATAGATCCGTCAGTATGAAAATGAAGGTAAAATGGAAACATGGAAAATTTCAGAGATCAATAAATAATAGGAATTTATACAACTTCTATTCTACGCGCTACTGACCTTTTTTTTTGTTTCTTTGTTTAGAGATAAAAAGAAGAGATTAACTATAAAAAATTGAAAGATTATCTTTGACTCTAACAGATAGGTATGTTCTATAACAGCAAAAGAAAAGGATTAAAGGTACAATTATAAATATTAAAGCATAACAGAAAAACATAATTTTTCATTTTCCACTTCCGTCTTCATCATGGACAAGTTGAACCACACCATAAGTTTCAAACCAAAATCCGAAGCACCACTAAAGATAAAAACTTCCTCCTATAGTGTTTCCATTCGATACAATTGATAATCTCATACAGTTTTTATCTATAAAATATAAAGTTTAACATTTTTCACACTGTTGTAGAACTGAACATACATAAAATGTGGAAATAGCTATATAAGTGGCATCATTTAACTATTGTGGCCTCGACAACCTAGCAGGGATCACAAAACTCGCCTGCCTTAGTTAGGTACATCAGGTACAATGTATAATTGACCAAATAAACTTGCTTGACAAATTTAAAACAATGTGATACACAGTCAATAAATAAATAAATACAGCAGTCTTTGCCAGCATCATTGTGCATAATTAGTAATTTAATACTTTAAGTTCAGAAATTTATGAACATAGCAAGATATGCTTTCATGTAATGATCCACTGATACATGTATATTTGTAAATCTGAGGTTAACTTAATAAGCAACAATGGTAGAATAACAAGCACAAAATTTAGCCAAATACTGAACCAATCAAATCTAAACTCCTTTCCAATTAGTTGATGCTACTACATGTACAAGTTAAATGAAATCTAATATCCAAATGCTGTTAACTTGTTCCTTCCTTAATGACAACCTTTTTGTCATCACCGAGCTCAATGACTAGTGGTGGTTTAAAGTGCTTGCCTTTAACTATCACATCCAAGTCCTGTTTGAGAAAAAAATTAATTCGAGACATACATTTATGCAAATCATAAATATAGAATTTTGAGAACATAAGCATTTTATTTGAGACTGAATTAAAAAATTTAAATGTTTGTAACTCACTAACTTTCATATGGTGTATAATGTAAGTCGAATCTCCTTTGAGATATTGATGTCCATAAAGCAAAAGTACTCCTTTCAGACCATGAAATTTATAGGGCAGATGATGTAAAGGTCATCTGTTTCTATGAGGGTGTCATGCAGCCAACACAATCACACACCTCCTATACTTTACTTAAATACTGTCAGGTATCTATTAGATTTGAGTGGGATCAGGGGTGTTTTAAAAACACCTTGGTTTGGAAGCCAAATGCTGTTGATGCATCTTGTGTCATTACAATGCTTTACCACTCAGCCAGCACAAGGCCACCATGCACCATAGAGTTCTGCATGACTGATCATGTTTATTTTTGAGGGTGTTATGCAGACAGCTAAATAACCAACTGAATTTACTTTCCCCAGATGAGGCTAGGTACCTGATTTGAGCTTGGTAAATTCAGGATCTATAACTGTGCCCTCCCCACAAATATTTAAGATTGATATCTTAAAGCTAGACTACTTTTACCCAAACTTTGTTTTCTTCCTTTCTTTTTTTACATGGGCATCATGGAAGACGGGCTGTTTACTCATCTATACATGTGTACTGTTTTGAAAATTCACATCATAGAGATTAATGTATAAAATATTTTATACAGAAAGTAACTAGAGAGACTACCAAGTCGACTTGGCAAGGGAGAGTAGAATGGAGATGACTAAATTCAAAGGAGCTTGAAGATTAGACTTCATTGAGCTAGCATGGGGAAAGTACTAAATAAAAAACTTTCTATAAAGTAAAGATTAATGGATAGTATAATTATCTTGATAAATGCATACTAGTGATATATGTAATAATAATGTTACGTATCTAGGCGTTGTTTTTTTTTTTTTCTTTGACCTGTTGCGGTCAAGAGACGGGTAGGTTGTCTGCCCCTTGTGTAATAAGTTTTTTTTTTCTTTTTTATTCGTCAAGCCACACAGACAGTGACCGGTCCTTGACCTGTGTGTGTACCTCTGGTTGAAAGGAGGGTGTTTTTTTTTCTGTCTCTTTGAAGAGCGTTCTAGATCTGGGAAATTGATGACGTATTTGGTTCGAGAAATTCCTAGATTTGTCTTGAGATCGACGCGCGGTAGATTATATAAAGACCGCCCGCGTGACGTTGACGGACTGACATACGGAGACAGCCGTGGGACAGAATAGCGGAGACATTGCGCGACCCGTGCGTGGTATACCAATTGATCGTGTAAGTTAAGATTTTTCTTTTTTTTCAAGGCCTTGCTTGTATTTGTAATTATATTTGCAAACTCTTGTATTGTAATATTTTTACATGCCATTTTTGTAAAAGGGTTTTGGTCAACCCTTCCATTTTGTATTGAGTTATATTATGATTAAACATTAAGTTGATATTTTACCTTCCGATTTCTTGTGTCATTTTTTTTTGTTATTCATTGTAAGTCTTTGATTAAATTCAGACTTAAGATAAGTGACACAACTACCTTTTTCTATTGTCACGTTCCCCTAGGCAAGCCATTTAAAAGTAGAATTCAATTTGTAATACGTGACAAAAGAAGTTTGAGGGCTTTCGTCCGGGATATTTTTCTGAACCTATTTTCGTCTTACTTGAGTAATTTTGTAAAGGCGAAGTTGACTTTAACAAAATTTTTTTTTTGTGTCAAAGAGTCGGAAGTAAAGTATCAATAGTATTGACCAAACTCTCTTAAGGTTTTTTTGTTGTACTGATTTTGTACTGTATATTTACATTGTATACATTTTTTTTGCTTGTAATAGTTGTTAGTTAGTCATGGATATTCAGGTTTTTCTTGCAAATCCCTCTGTGAAAGAGCTTGATGCTTTTACTAGGAAGGAACTGGTCCTTATTTCTAAACATTTAGGGTTAAAAATAAAATCAAATGCCCTTAAACAAGAAATCAGAGATAACATTGTAATCCATTATGTAGACGAGGAAGTGTTTTCTGAAGACCTTTTAGAAACCCTTAGACCCGATGAGGGTAAATCAGATTTAGAACTTCAGATAAAATTAAAACAAATGGAAATAGAAGCCCAGTTAGCTTTAAAAGAAAAAGAAATAGAGTTAAAAAAATTAGAGTTAGCTGCTAATGTAAGACCAGATTCTTCCCCTGCCAGTCATACTGCTGAAGCAACAAAATTTTTGAAAATAATTCCACGCTTTAATGAAGCCACAATTGACAATTATTTTCCACAATTTGAACTTGCTGTGAAAAATTTTAATGTACCTGAAACTTTGTGGCCCACTTTGCTGCAAACAGTTTTGACTGGTAGAGCTGCAGAGGTATTTTGTTCTTTGACCATTGAACAACAAAAAGATTATAATGTTGTTAAGGCCTTAATTCTTAAGGCATATGAACTTGTTCCGGAAGCTTACCGAAAGCAGTTCAGGGATTGTCGCAAATCGGATGGCCAAACCCATGTAGAATTCCTGCGG